CTACAGCCGGTAGTGACTGAGTCAGCTTGTAAATACTGCTGTGGCCACAGATAAGCCATTGTTTTTCCTTCTGCATACAAAGGAAAAATCCAGTTGTAACGACCTGCAGTATGGATTCAATTTATTATGGAGCTAACAAAACATGCAAAAAAAGCAGCACTGGCTGAGCAGCACTTCTTCCTGTTAGACTCACAAAGGTGTCAACTGATGTCCCCAAACCTCTTAAACTCTGCATCTTCACCAACACAGCACTGTAGCATAGCCTGAAAGGGAATGCAAAGTGAGAAAAATAATGTTACACTTTTACAAACTAATGTGGACTACAGTTTTTGACTTAAAAATTATTTGAAAATCTACTACAGTGGCCTTGGAGGATCAGGCATGTTCCTGCAGAATCATAATCGGTAGCCAGTTATTCAGCGGAAACTGCACAGTTCCTCACTGGTGATTGGCACAGGGAATACTTTGTCCTTATTGCTAGTCAATCTTTCAAGATTCTGCCATCAGGGATGTCTTCATTCTTTTCTCCAGGAGTCAACAGCACCTCTTTAAAGACATTTATAGGGCCTCAGAAAGTGGCAGAACTCTCCCTTCAGCTGGGTTATTATTACACAGTATGGAGCATTCGAACAAGCCTTTCCCAACAATACGGTAGCATTTTATTTTGGCATTATTTACACATATAAGGTGCTAAATCTCTGGATCATTTCAAAGACTCTCTAACATGGAGAAAGTCATCCATGCCCCCATATCACCTTTATCAAATACTGTACCTCTTCATGTGTTTGTTTGGTGTCACAAAGGATTTGTTTGTTTTTTTAAATTTATTAGCAGAACCGGAACTCAACAGTGATGCTATTAATGAGCTCAAAATGAAAAGAACATATTGATCATGTTTTTTACTCCCTTTACTGGCCTTAACATTTGATTGTTTCTACAAAAGCTTTTTCCTGTGCCAAGAACAAACTCTCTAAGGCGATAAGGTCTGCTATCATTAGCTACTGTTGAAATCTTGACCCTGTTGCTTCAGACTGTGTCAGTCCATTTGTGTTTTCAAAGAACAAATCCACTATGACTGAGTTTTAAGTATTTTTGTTATAATTGTTATTCTTTTTTAAGGAATGTTTGTGTGCATCTTCCTGATGTAAACTTTTCCTGTCAGGTTACAGACACCTGTAGATGTTCTCATTATTGTAGAGGCCAACAGTCCTTTACAGTATCCAACTCAGGGGGTGGAGGTACGACCCCTGAAAACAATCATCATCCCAGGTATGAGTCAAGACAGGGAGTGTGTTAGTTAGACATTTATTAAAGACTCAAAGTTACATCGCTCTCCAAAAAGTAAAAACAGTTAGAACTAGCCAATAGTAAATTAAATGAAGTAGATTAAATATGCACCAATGGCTGAAGCAGATTATTCTTCAAAGGTACTGTGGTGTTGTGGATAAGGTTGATGGTTTTAAATCTTTAGGCATTGTCATATCCTCTAATCTGAGTTGGGGAAATGATTTTCAAGAGATTCTTAAACAATCTCATCAGAAACTATTTTTCCTGCAGCAACTGAGGAAATTTGGAGCATCTCAATGAACAGTTTTATCAGGCTGTGATCAAAATTGTTTTAACATTTTCCCTTGTTGTCTGGTTTTGTAATCTGACTTTGGAGGACAAGAAAAAGTTGGATAAAGTAGTTAAATGGACCTACTGTATGCAAATGCCAGGAAGGCATACACTCCCCCCTCTAGGTCGCTCTGACCACAACCTTGTTCACCTGCTTCCTGTGTATACTCAGAAGGTGAAAAAGGTGTCACCACAGGTCAGAGTAGTAAAGGTATGGACAACGGAGGCAACAGAGCAGCTGAGGGACTGTTTTCACGCCACAGACTGGGACTTCCTCTGTAGTCCTCATGGAGAGGACATAGATGGCACCATCTGTTAGATTCTAACCTCTTTGTCAGAAATTAACCCAATTCTTTTGTTGGAAGCACGAGAAGTGACGACAGGAGAGGACTGTTTAAAATCAGCGGAGAGTTTACTGAATGTCTGATCACAGGTAGGCCTTACAGTGCTGGGATCAGAGAGACAGAGCTCCCGCAGGAGTTCCATCCACTGACCTCGAATTAAGGTCTTACAATACATTTTTGCTCTTTGGGCTAGGTCCGCCCCAAACAAAGATCTCACGAAACCAGGTGTGTATGTGTTGTCATGTGACTTTCCAGGCGGCAGCCAAACAATGGGTCTTCTGCGCCGCAGACCCCCCATCTGTGTAATCCCATTACATGACAAAGCAGGACCTCCTGCATACAAACACTGTAGTCAGTTTCTACTTCAGTATCACTTGGCTCTCATCAGTACAATTGGAAAATATACATGCAAGGAAAATAAATGTATTAAAGTAACCAAGGCTCAGTAGTTCTGGTCAATCATCAGTACAGTTTTACCATGTGTAAGCAAGGAAGGTAAACATATGAAAAGTAACTGAAAGACAATGAAGAACTGAAAAGTAACTAAAGATTATAAAGTAACTAGAGCCTATAAGAA